CTTCGATCGCCCGTAGACCAGACCATGACGGGTACTTTCTTTTATTTGTCCTGAATTTTTCAACATTCAGCTTCACTGGATGTCTACAAGTTCCAGTTTTACAAGGGAGAAAAAAATGCAATGCCTTGCTTAATTTTCTAAGCACCTCTTATTTGCTTTTTCTCTAAACTGAAAAATCCCAGACGCGGCAACCTTTCCCCATAGGGGAGTTGCTACTTGGCCATTTTGGTTGCCCTCTGTTTCACTCCACTCCCAAAATGGGCCTTTTCTCTTAAAGTATTTTAACCAGAACATTGCCTTGTCCTAAAACGTTGATTCTCTCTCCTCTCCGTCTCCTATTTGCAGAAAATCCCACCTAAAAAAACCAGTCATGTAGTTTTGTTGCATGGCATCAGAGCCGGCAGGGGAAAACCATGCTCTCCCTGTCATTGACCATGGTAAGCAGCAATGACAAATGCAGGGCATTGTGGGAAGCTCATTCATTAGTCTGAGGCGCTTGTAACAGAGCACAAACTGTTAACGAATCCTTTGGCAAAATGTTCTGGCACCTCTCATTTGTGGGACCACATCTGACAGCACAAGAACAAAGGAGGTTTGCATTGCGTGTTCATGGGCTTGCCCAGACAAGTGCAATGCTTTTGATCCTAAATAGTTTAAATAAAGCAAGATAAATCATAGGTGACTTATTTAACTTCCGTGGTCACTGAAGTATGCAGAACTCACAGAAAAGACTATATGTTGCATACTAAACATTTGCTAACTACAGCTGCCAGCAATTATAGACCCCTTTTCAACCTAAACGCACACTGGCATAACAAATTGAAAAACAAACAAGTGTACCGTTTTCCCAACTGGCCACCAGAGACTTGAATACATAAATTACTCCCCACCTCCCTAAAATGTCATTACAGCATGAAAGGGCAGAGTGGTGCATTTTAATTAATTTCTAAAGGACACATTGTCTTGGCTTCCCCTCTCTCCTGCATCATTAATTTTGAAGCCTATACTATCTGAGATGTCTAATTAGCATTTCTTTGCATACACATCATTGCGACTGTGGCATCACACAGACAGCCATCTCTGAGGATTCAAATGCTCCCAAAGGCATCTGTAACTCTGAACAAGGAGTTCCCTGTATCACAAACTTGCCAAGCAGAATCCGTTCATGAGATGGGTCTTCCCTGTATTGTCTGGTGAAGGCAACCTGGCTTAATTTGTGCTTACTATACTTGATCATGTCCACATTTATAAGTCTAGCGAATTTCCTATGCCTGGTTTTCTATATTTTGCATAATATTCCTTCAAAGCTCCTGCATCAATTTCCCATTTCAACAACTTAATTCAATCTGGGGCCATAAAAATGTAATTGTTAATGGCAGAAATCACAGCTCCCCTATTCCCCAAAGGTCCATTCATTTCCACAAACCTCATCGACCACACAGCTTATTGGCCTTCATTGTCCATTATCCCAGTGCTTGGAGAAAACTTCTGCTTTGGGTAATGTTGATGAATAATGAAGATGGCTCCTAGAAGACTTTCTTATGAAGTGCAGCAAGAAGGATTTATTGCTGAAATCCATTTGCCAAGTGGAAAGCAAGTGAATATCAAAGGACTCTTAGGACTATCTATTTTCCGTGCAAGTTGGATACTATGTACCTAAGTGAGCACCATGGGACAGATTTATGACTGTGCTTGAGCTATTAAATTGTCTGGAACCAGATATTTAGGGAGATGGTCCCCCATCCCACCTCACATCAACTCTGATGTGGCGGTTGGAATAGACATAGGAATAGCGAATCTTTTGGGTTCTCTCCATTTCTCATTTTTCCCATTCATAAGTTCAATTCTCCACATTTCCACATCAGCCTTTCTAAAAGATCAATTTCTTGCTAAGTGCAAAACAAACATTATGTGGCACTTTGTAAGAAAATTGACTCAGTGGATGAGGAATTTGCAAAGGAATTTAAGAATGAGAGAGAAATTTCATTCATTTAAAGGCAAATCTACCTAATTTGACCTTTCAGAAACAATATGTAAACAGCCATCTTTTGAAATTCATTTTCTGAATTTTTCATTGTAGTTCTCCAGTCAAGTAATGTGCACAAGAAATGCATATCTGAGTGGATATATGCAGATTTGCATTGCAATGGAGGAAAATGCATCCAAAAATGCATGCAAAAAATTGCATTAAAATGCTGTGAATACTTTTTTTATTACTATTAAAGCAAATCAATGTGCAAATGTGAAGAACTTAAGAATGGAAGAATGAGAAGCTAAGAGAAACCGTAACTGACAGATGTGCCCTTCCCTAACTGCTGGTCACTGAGCAAAAATGTCGCTGTGTGTCTCTGGTTATTTCTGTTGCTTCTGAAGACTTTTCCACACAAATTGTTATTTTCAGCCCCATTCTTCAGTGGAGTGTTGCTTCAAGGACTTTTTAGAAAAGTACTGGCCCAATGCAGTATCATATCAATGAATAGCAAACTCATTCTCCACGTGTAAATTGTTATGTAGCCAAAACAGCACCATCCATTTACAAGAGGAGCCTTTTGGAAGCTCGGACAAACCACCAGGGCTACATAGTAAAAAACAAAAAAGCCTTTGGGAGAGAACCTTAAGTGGAAGAGAGAAAACCCCAAACACCTCCATAAGGACAGAGCATGCTAACTTGAATAAAATAAAATATTGGGGGGGCAGGTAAGCCCCGCCACACATAATCACAAGACGCAATACACACTCACCATTTGAATTGCAATGCCCATCAACTTTGAGGGGCCCAGTCCCTTAAATATTTTATGGGAGGCGAAGGAACCTCAGCCCCTAGGAACTGGCTCCAATGGACTGTGGGATGTTGAATAAATACTGGAGGTGAGAAACTGCAATAACTCTCACTGTGGTGACCCCTTTTCTCTCTGTGGTGACTCCCAGAACCAGGCGTGGCTTAAGGGTATTAGAACAGAAAGCACAGAGACAGAAAGCACAGATCAGCCAATGCAGGGATGATGTAGAATAGGAGGCACTATGGGAGTGGGACTTGGAGTAACACCGTTATCTAAGACAGACTGCATTCCTTCTTCTCTCTCTGTAAATATTTAATAAACCACCTTGGGGTGTTTTTTTTTTGCTTCTTGGCATCCCACCATGGGAGAGAGGATTCCCTGAAGCCTTGACATGAGGTGCAGTTCACCATGCTGGTGTCAGGTGAAGGCAAACCTCTTTGAGAAGGCTTTTGGGGAGTGATGAGAGATACTAAGCATTTTAATGTCTGAAACTGCTACTGTTTTTTTATTGGTAACTTAAGTCTGCATTTTTGTTTTATTCTTTTTTAATTGTAATGTTTCATTCTGGTTCTCAGCAATGCCACCCTGTGAAGCTGGGATGGAGGGTGGATTATAAATATGCCTGATAAATAAATACCTGGTATAGTAGAATAGAGTGGAATATTCTGGAAAAGGGCAGGGGTGGCTGGCTGGAATTCTGAACAGAAGCTCTCCACACTGTAACATTTTGTGACAGGTCCCGGTTGTGGAAAACATGAACTATCAGACTATAAAATAACTTTGGAAGCAAATTATCTGTCTCTTCCCTTGACATGGGCCTTAGTGATACAAACCTAATAGGAGATGTTTCACTCTGAACGTTTCATCACATCAACGATCACATTCCATTTTTTTGAACAAAGGCAAGAGAAAGAGATGGGAGATACACAAAAATGCACACAAAAATTATACTCCAACTTCACATAAATGGCTGATAAAGGTTTTTTATTAAGTGACTTGACTGGATGTGACAATGATGAAACTGCAGAATGGATAGTGTGGGTATTAGTGTGAACTTGATTGACTGGTGCAATGCCTGGAAATGATTGCCAACTCAGGAGAAATTTAGATAAACAAAAGTAAGGTTAATGATCTGTGAAAGGCATTGATAGACAATGCAAATTTAAAAAAAATGCATCAAAAGGAAACGATCAATGCTCACCATATGTTATTCGCTGGACCTAAGCCTCAATTAGATCATAATGGTTCCATGCAACTAGCACAGTGTTCAAACACTGCAGGAAAAAAATAGTCGAAGAAGCAGTTTTCTGACAAAGTGATGCTTTACTCAACAGTCTAAAAAAAATATTGAAGTATTTTGAGTCGGCTGACAAAGTCTTTGAAAGCTTCTAATTTTCAAATGCTGGGTGAATTGACATGGTGCAATTCCTCAACAGTCTACCCTTTCTGTATTTAGAGCAGTGAAATAGAACTTTACAGTGGAGAACAGGACAGTAGGATAATGCTGGAGGGAGTCAGTTCATTCCCAGCTCAGTCTGATGTAGCCATCAAAGGTTTCACATGGTGTATTTAAAACCATTGTTTAATTTAGCACGATTCCCTGTTTTACAGCATGCTATATGGGAGAGAAATCTCATCCACTGACTCCTTTCACTTTTAGACACACACACACATAACCTGCTAAACAGTTGCTGCTAGTGGGGATGGGGAGGGAGCAACAGGGCCAGGACTGTGCTGCTTACACCGTAATTCAAGCACTACGCTTATGAGAAACGCTGAGGAATATCAGGTTTGGGCCACATTCACACCATGCATGTAAAGCACTATGATGCTCCTTTAAACAGTCATGGCTTCCCCCAAATAATTTTGGGAGATGTCGTTTCTTTTTCTCGACCCCCCCTAATAATATTTATTAAGTTTTCCATTTTAACAATCCAATAAAAACCACATTAAAAACATTCCAAATTATAAAATAACCAAACAGTCCAAATGTTATGCCAAATTATAAATTTTGGTTGGCTTCCCATGCTCTGAGGTTGGGGAGTGATGATCATCTCACATTTATGCTGCTTCTCCAGGTAGTTCCAATAAATCAATCTGATGTTAATCCTTCATTTATTTTTAACAGCCTCTGAGTTCATCTGGCAAGCGAGTTCAACCAATACAGTATATTTCTGTGTGGTTGTTTATTTTCTTTTTTCCTTCTTCTTTATATTCTTTGTACTCAGATTCTCTCCATGGCGTTTCACTTTCGCTTCCTCGTGCCTGTGATTATCCACTGTGACATGTCCCAAAATGGAGGAAATCTGGCTTTTTCCAATTGTAGCAGGCATATGTCTAAACTTCTTTGTTTTATCTCATTCCAAAAGAAATAAGCCTGTACTTTAGAAAGAAACCATAATTTCCTTCTTCTAGTCTTAACAATTCGTTGAAGGTAATTGCAAATTCATAAATCATTTCCACACAGTTAATAATTAGACCAAAATTATATCAATAATACAATACTCTACAGTCCCGCTTGAGTACATAAACAATCCAGCAGTCAGTCCTTCCAGGGAGATTTGCCAGGTAAGATAGCATATACAAAGTATATCCGAAGGAAACAAAGGAGGCTCACCTCCCTTCCGTTCTGACATACCAGTCCCATACGGATGGTAATCCTCTCTTCCACTTGAATCCTTTGGCACCCCAGTGGCTGAATCAGTTAGCAGCGTAGTTTATCTCCCCTCGCTCAGAGCATGCCCGTTAATTAAGTCCAAATTTTCATCTTAAAAAACAGGTATTTGTTGCTCACGGCAGCAACTTTGAAGAGTTGCCAAAGAGATGCATGGTGCTTTGCACCCAGCGCCCCCTGCCCCCTCATTCCTTCTGGATTGGGGGCAGGTGTTGGGTAATCTGCGGGTGAAGTTGCCCCCCTGGGAGATGTCATTTCTTAAGGGTGCTGACAACGCCAAGGTTGCAGGTTCGATCCCCATAAGGGACAGCTGCATATTATTGCATTGCAGGGGGTTGGACTAGATTTGTGTTTCCCAAACTTGGCTCTGTGTTTGGACTACAACTCCCATCATCCTTGGCTGACAAGACCAAAAACATCTGGAGACCCAAGTTTGGAAAACACTGGACCAGATGATTCTCAGGATCCCTTCCAACTCTATGATTCTTTGAGGAGAACCCTATTCCCCTCCCAAAGCTACATTTCCCACTGTTCCCTGGGAAGAAGGATTGGTAAATAACTACCACTGCTGAATATTTCCCCTAATATAAACACATAATTTAATTTACTGAGTAACAGAGAGCAGAGTGGGGATTATGATCAAAGATGAACAAGCCCCAAAGCTTTTCTAAGCAATGCTTGGGGGAATAGATTTAGCAAATTCCCAAGAAATTACAGAAACATCCATTTGTCAATTATAACTGACTGATTTCTCAGGGTCAGACACTCTAATTTTTAAGATGTATGCCAGTATACCCTCCTGCCTATAACAGTAGAATAACACTCTGGCAGTACCTATAATGACCTTTGTCATTACGCTGCACTAGCACAGCCATCAATACTCTCCATTGTAAGCATTTATTTCCTGGAATGTCAAGACTTTCCCTCTGGCTATAAATTAGCTGATTTGTTATATTTAAGACATTTCTAAACTGCTCTTCAAAAACATTTATCCCAGGGAAGTTTACAATGCAAATATATCCATGTGCTATGTTTAAGCTGGAGAAGGCAAATAAAAATGAAGAACAGCTCACATCTAGAATTCAAGTCCATCCCAGAGCAAAACAAAAGAAGTCAGCCAAGCAAACGAAGACGTCAATAAACGGCAAATTATTCTCAGCAAGAGTGGAAATGCTAGCATTTATAATCCTCACTTGGTTAGGTAAAAGAGATAGGTAAACATTCACAGTGCAGGCCTAGCTCTGCTGGGTTGAGTGAGTTGACCTGTGGTGGTTCTCCAGATCAGCCAGTGGGTTCCCAGCTCAGACCAGCTACAGCAGCATCAGTCCCAACTCCAGATAAACTGGGGCTAAGCCAGCTGAGCACAGACTGGCAAAATTTGCATTAGCCTAAGCCCAGAAAAATTGGCATTCTGGGAAAGTAGTGGGGGCAGGTTGCTCCTTTCATCACACCTGCCTATTCACATGCATCACCCAGTGGCGTAGCGTGGGGGGTGCAGGGGGGCCCGGCCGCACCGGGTGCAACACCTGGGGGGGGGCGCGCTCACACTCACAGCTCTCTGCCCCTACCTGGCTCACTCTCTCTCACTGCAGTGCTGGCTGTGCGAATCCGATCCGAGCCGCTGGGTCGCCGCCCACTATGGAGGGGGTGGGTGCCAGGCGTGCGGTGCGGAGAGAGAGCGAGGGACTATCTGGGGGAGGGACAGTGCAGCGGCCACCCAGCACAGTGCTGAGCGCAGGAGAGAACCACACCAGACCAGACCAGGCAGCAGCAAGAAGAAGCTGGCAGCGGCGGCAGGTTAGGGGTTAGGGGGCGCAAATTACTTGCCTTGCCCCGGGTGCTGACAACCCACACTACGCCGCTGGCATCACCTGCATTGGGCTAGCATGTTGTAGGTGCAATGGGAGCATTTATATGAGCCAATGCCATGCTGACTTTGAGAACGTGTAAAGGCGGCCTGAAATGCTTAGGTATCCTGTTCATTTTATTTGAACCACTGGATCTTTCAAATTACGAAAGAACGCCATGAGCATTGACAACCAGTTATCCTAACAAACATTCTTCTATTAGCTTTTCACCTTCTCTTTTGAATTTCGTTTAAAAATTCCAAGCAGGTTCCAATTCTCCGGGCCACCATTTTTATTATAATACTGCTGTGCGATTCCTTTCTGCAGCAACCATATTTTAATGTAATAAACTCAATTAAACTTGCATACACAGGTTTTACTTTGCAGCCAGCGTTGTGCTAAGACTTGCAAATGTTCCATTTAAAGCTGTCATAATTATTTTATACCACTTATTTATTCATTATTCAGGCCCAGCTGGGCCAAAATCATTAAGGCTGTACTGCCTCAATAATGGGGAGTTTAGCACTTAATGACCCTATTTCAAAGCTCTGCAGGAACACTCATAGGACAACACAGAAGTTCCCTTAGAATGTTTATAGGCTTTCTCCATTAACCTGGGGCATCTATATATGTAGAACAAAGATATATATGCATAGATTTTTTTAAAAAAAGTAATGCATGCAAAGAGCTTTTTTTGAAATAAGATGATGGTAAAAAGCTAAAGGTACCCCTGACCATTAGGTCCAGTTGCGGACGACTCTGGGGTTGCAGCGCTCATCTTGCTTTACTGGCTGAGGGAGCCGGTGTACAGCTTCCGGGTCATGTGGCCAGCATGACTAAGCCGCTTCTGGCGAACCAGAGCAGCACACGGAAACACCGTTTACCTTCCTGCTGGAGCGGTACCTATTTATCTACTTGCACTTTTGAACTGCTAGGTGGGCAGGAGCAGGGACCGAGCAATAGGAGCTCACCCCATTGCGGGGATTCGAACCGCTAACCGTCTGATCGGCAAGACCTAGGCTCTGTGGTTTAGATCACAGCACCACCTGCGTCCCCTGATGATGGTGGATCTCTATACAGCAGCTTTCAATAAAATATCACAAGATCTTGTGTGCTCCAAGAGATCTCGCAAGATCTTGCCTGGTGCTGACACATGACCCAGGAAAGAGAAGAAGAAGAAGAAGAAGAGTTTGGATTTGATATCCCGCCTTTCACTCCCTTTAAGGAGTCTCAAAGCGGCTAACATTCTCCTTTCCCTTCCTCCCCCACAACAAACACTCTGTGAGGTGAGTGGGGCTGAGAGACTTCAAAGAAAGAGGCTTTGGGAGGGGAGGCAGCACCTACCCACTTCACCTCAGGCACAGAAATGGGGCAGACTGCTACTGTTCCTAGCCAGAGGTGTAGGAAGGGGGGGTGCGGAGGTGGTGGACCACCCCAGGTGTAAATGCTGAGGGGGGGGTGACATTCGGTGCACCACCAGCCCATGACTCCCCAAGCCTACCCTGAGCCGTTGATGGGGACAATGACAAAATAAATCCACACTGGGTTCCACCTGACCTTGCTATGCCTCTGCTCCTAGCCATATGTGCAGATAACCAGGATTAAACCTGGGACCATTTGCAGGCGAAACAGATGTTCTGGTGCTAAGCTATGGCCATTCCTCCTGTCACTGGCAAACATGTCAAAAATGCTTCCCTCCCTGCTGTCTGCATTTTTGGATGAAGAACTGAAGGCGGGGGGAAATCAATTGTGTCCATGGGTACCATCTTGGTGTTCCCAAGTATAGAATATTGGATGTCAACAAGAAACACTTTCTGTTTGGCTCACATTTAGAAATCACAAGTAGAAAGGACAATTTATGGGACAAAAACAGCACAGCTATTTTTTAAAATATTTTTTAAGAGAATGATTTAAAAAATGACCTTTAAGTGCATTTTGCTATAATATTACCATGTATCCACAATCCACTGCTCTACAATAAATTAATATCAGGATAAATCAATCAATTCCTTTCTGTCACCTCCCACCCAAAATGCACATAAAAGTAATGTCGTCAATCGCAATCCATTCTGTCGTTCTCCTTGTCTTTAATGGCTTTTAAATCCATTAAGACAGGACTGATTCATTCATCCCATGCTCTGGAAAATGTTAATTATTTTGTCAAGAAAAGAACATTACAGAATCAATTAGTCTATACTTTAATTTCCCTGGTAACTTAAAAAAAAACACAACTCTTAAAAATTAGATCCTCCTTCCAAAACATGTACTGCAAATTTTACTTCTCTCAAACTCCAAAATGAAAATTTTAACTTCTCTTTGGCTCCAAGGGAGGCATTATTTGACTAAAATGATGGATCACCAAATGTAATTGGGCTCCAGCTCCCATCAGCCCCAGGCAGTATGGCCAATGGTCAGGAATAATGGTAGGCCAGCAGCAACATCTGATGAACCACAGGTTTCTCCACCCTGTACAGCCCAAAGTTGATCCTCTCAAGCTGTACTGTGCAATTTGTGTTGCAGTGTATAGGAGTGGTGGATATGTATGAATACTCTCATCCGGTATTTTCCATTTTGCTGCAATCGGTTTATTTTCCCCAGTTCTTTCTTCCATTTAATTGTCCACTGATGACAAAATATACATTTTTATGTACCCCATGATGTATAATAGGTACACATGTCTTAGTCATCAGCTGAAATTTACAAACCAATTATAATCGCCCCTGTGTGCTCCCTTTAAAGTTAATGAGTTTCCAGAGGAATGAGGCAGGTAAGGACATGGCTGAGCTGAAAGGGGCTTGTAGGAACCATTGATCAGCTGATTGATGGTACCTGCAGAGTGCTGTGTATCTGGTTTCCCAAGCTCCAACAATCAGTAGGTCATTCAAGCTGGTGAAGTCAGATACACTAGGCTTCAAAAGACCCAACAATCAGCTGTTTCTCTGGTGTTGTGAAGGACCCATGCTGATCATGGGCTCACGCAGCACTATTCAAACGACTTCACAAGTTCCATGCACAGTGCTTCGCATGGGCTATGCCTTTGCCCATATGGTTTTATTTTAAGACACGCAGCCAAAAATGGGACACATGATGTCCTCATAACATCAGATGATTGATAGATAACTGGCCCTACCCACCTGTTAAAACATGGCCTGTGAAGGATGGGGGAGATAATGGTCTCGCCCACTGGCCAGATCCATTTTCCCATCTCTGATTTAGGGAATGGATGGTCAAAAAAAGATCAGTCAAATCCAGATTGTGTTCTCCACTTTTACAAAGAAGCTCAAACTTTAAGAATCATAGATGAAGTCCATAGGTGACAAAATTTATCAACTTCTTTCCTTTGGAAAAGAACAATGAAAATTGCACTCTACTTGATTTTTTAAAAAATGACAGTAAGAAGCTGATTGAGGCTTCAATCCTAACCCCATTTACCTGGGAGCGATCCTCACTGAATTCAATGGGACTCATTTCTGAGTAGACATGGTTAGGATTGCAAACTTGGTGCATACAGGCTGCTTCTAACAATGTACAGCATGCAAGATTTCAGAAAAACAGCAATGAGGCACCTTTGGGGAAAGTTGCAATTATACACTAATGTATCGCCTTCATTTGAAATTCCTGTTGTAGCAGGTTGGACTAGATGATCCTCAGAGTCCCTTCCAACTCTACAAGCCTATGGTTCTATAATGTAATTGCAACAACTTGCCTTGTAAACAACTTCAGAAAAAGCCTTCATGGCAAGAGTCTATGCTATGATGAGGGTCAAATGGGCAGATGGAAGGAAATCTGCTTGATAGTCCACAGATTCCTCAGACATCCCTTTCAAGTGGTGCTGAGCAAAGTAGGAGCCCCCAATTATAGTTGGAAGTGAACACAACTAAAAGTACACAAATGCACTTTTATTGTTGAAATCCACAATAAATGCAGCAAATTGTGGGTATGTGTAGTCTCATAACAGGAAGCACAAGAAAGATCACTACATGTCACTTAAGTCCACATGCATTGGGAAAAACACAGGGAGATATGTCATTTTGACTTTTCATTTCAGGTGCAAATGGTCCTAAAGTCATGTCCCCAAAAGCAGAGCTTCTCCCTCAGAGGACATCTTCCTAGCCTACATTTATGTGTTGAGCTGGGTAGGAATAGATAGACTAACTAATCACTGAAAAGATGAACAGTGAGAAATGTTACAAAAAGAAAATGGATTTTTAAACAAAAAACCTCTCCCTATGAAAATGAGCAGTGGGCTATTTCCGCTTTTATTGGAAATGGAAGAAGGTCAAATGAAATGCTTGTAAAGACGGCCAAGGATCTGAGCCAGGCAGCAAAGCTCTGCTACGGCCCCATCAATACTCCAACTCCTACGGAGTACGCTGACCTGCCATCAGTTTAAAGTCACTGTCCCATGCTGACATTTCTCTTGCAAACTCCGTGCTGCTTCCTCATCCGCTGTAATTTAGCATGACAGCTTTTGTCTCCAACCTAACTGAAAATTTACAGCAGCTTAGAAACCCAGGCCTAGAGATGCCCGGGAAATGTGCTCCCCTCCCATCTTCAGAGACTTGTTCATACGTGATAACATTTAATGCAGTTAAGCACAATTGTGTCTATTTGTTCGCAGAGTCAGCCCCCACCTTCTCTCTGGAGGAGGAAGAAGGGGAGGGAGGTTTTCACTCTTTCTTTCTGAAACTACTCAAATTTGGAAAACAACCATCAACTATAAATGATAGAAGTTTAAATGTGTTGGGGAGGGGGTTCTTTCCAGAATATAGCTGAAATCCTATAACCATTTATCTGGGGGCAAGACCCATTGATCTCAGTGGCCTGGTTCACTCATCATGCTAAGCCAGTCTAGGGCTTAGGAGATCTTTCAGCATCCTCATTGTGCTGTGCTGTGCTAAGCCAGGGTCTGGTTCAGTGTGTCATCCAAAACTGGGCTTGTGGTTTAGGTCTCCTGGACAAACCATGAGCTGTAATCCATTGGACAAATCTTGGTTACAGCTCATGGTTATTCTGGAGAGAGCCATGAGCTTGGGTTTGGACAAAATACTAAGCCAAATCATTGCTTAGCTCAGCAGCAGGACAAAAAGAAAGGAGCAAAGAAAACCACAATCTTCTTTCCAGGAGTCCACACACATTCTTGCATCCCTGCTGCCATGGTTTGGCTTATTGTGATATGCAAACCAAGCCAGTCAGACTTACTTCTGAATAGGTTTGTGCTCTAAGGGGCACAATACAGACCTATTGAGCATCATTGATAGATACTAATGTGTTCCTAAGAGATGTAAATGAGGATGCAAGTGGCTTTTGTTAATCTTAGGTGATTACAAAGGAAAAGGAGAAGCACCTGTTCATGCAGACAGCCCTACTAATGGTCAAGCAGTGTGCCTGATAGCTGGGGACAGAATCAGAAGCGCAACCCTATTCCCCAGTAACCATGAATCGACCCTGACACACTAGTAACATAGAGAGGCAGATTGATATTGTTCAGGAACTCTTTTTCTTTTCCTGCATGACTTGATAACTTTTTGATTGCAGTGTCATCGTTCACTGATCAGTTTGTTTCTCCAATTCCACAAACCATAATCTAACAATACTTTGTCCAGATGTGTGCTGTTAAAAAACCATGACCACATGTATTTATGCTAATGTCTCGATAACAGAGAAAGAAAACAGAGGCTTGGATCTTGAGTTGCTTTTCTTTTCACACAGGTTGCAATTTCTGTCAACTGTCTCCTTCATATGCTCCTCCCCGTTAA